GAAGGGGCAGCATGGCTGGCTGTCTGAGGTCGCGCATTTGCACGCAGATAAACCAGTGAAGAGGCGAGCATTGAGACAGACCGCGCGGGCCCCGGTGCAGCGGGCTCACACATTTGCGCTCAGATAAACAGGCGGGGGCAAGCAGTAAGGCAGACCAGGCGAACAGAGAGGACTGCCATTGCTTCCTCTCTGACCCCACCCCGACATACAGGGTCACAAACCAGCAACGTGGGTGGCCCCGCCCTGGTGAACATCTAAGGCACCTCTCCTCGTACATAACAGGCACCAACAGATCAAAACATGGCTCAAGAAGAACTTAGAGCCCCAGAGCTGACTAATCTAAGTGATGAAGAAATAGCCAAACTTTCAGATGCACAGTTCAAAACACTGGTGATCAGGATGCTCACAGAACTGGTTGATTTTAGTCACAAATTAGAGGAACATATGAAGGCTAAACTAATTGAAATGAATGGAAATGCACAGGAAACCAATAGTAATGGAATGGAAACTGGGACTCAAATCAAGGGAGCAGACCAGAAGAAAGGAGAAAATGACCAAACAGAAAAATATGAAGAAACAAGAATTCAAAAAAATGAGGAGAGGCTTAGGAACCTCTGGGATATCTTTAAACGCTGCAACATCCAAATTATAGGGGTACCAGAAGGGGAAGAGGAACAGCAACAAGTGGAAAACTTATTTGAACAAATAATAAAGGAGAACTTCCCCAAGCTGACAAAGGAAATAGACTTCCAGGAAATCCAGGAAGCTCAGAGAGTCCCAAAGAACTTGGACCCAAGAAGGAACACACCAAGGCACATCATAATTACATTAGCCAAGATTAAAATGAAGGAGAGAATCCTAGAAGCAGCAAGAGCTAAGGGGACAGTCACCTACAAAGGAGTTCCCATCAGACTGTCAGCTGATTTCTCAAAAGAGACCTTAGAGGCAAGAAGGGGCTGGAAAGAAGTATTCCAAGTCATGAAATCCAAAGACTGACATCCAAGATTGCTCTATCCAGCAAAGCTTTCATTTAGAATGGAAGGGCAGATAAAGTGCTTCTCAGATAAGATCAAATTCAAGGAGTTTATCATCACTAAGCCCTTATTATATGAAATGTTAAAGGGACTTACCTAAGAAAAAGAAGATAAAAAAGATGAACAGTGAAAGGACAGCAAACTCACAGTTATTAACAACCACACCTAAAACAAAAGCAAACTAAGAGGACAGCTAGATCAGGAGTGAACCATAGAAATGAAGATCACGTGGAGGGTTAGCAACAGGGGAGAAGGAGAAGGGGGGAGAAGATACATAAAATAAGTAGCATAGACAGTAGATAGAAAATAAATAGGGGAGGGTAAGAATAGTAGGGGAAATATAGAATCTAAAGAACTTGAGACACGTGTTCATGAACTAAAGGGGGGATGGTGGGGGAGGGTGTGCAGGGTGGAGGGGAATGGAGGGGGGAATAGAACAAATGTAATGGCATAATCAATAAAAAAAAGAAAAAAATCTGATACTCAAATTTAACTGGGTGTCCTGTATTTTTAATTGCTAAATCTGGCCACCCTTGATGAAGTGGTCCTGGAAGCCCTGTTTTGGAAGCCCTGTCCTTGGAAGCAGAGGGGCCTCAGAACTTCCTGCCCTGGGGTGGTGCTAGGACTAAGCGGGGCAGAAATACGAGTAATGGGAGGGGCAACGCAGGCTTTCCAGGGAGAGGACCAGAAAACTGGGTCTTCAGTTTTCAGGAGGCTGAGCTTTATTTTGAAAACAAAAGCAAAGGCTATTTCCCAAGAGCTCTGTCCTCAACCCAGCCTAGGGAGGGCAGGGGGTGCAGGATAGGAGAAATTCCACCCTCCCGGGCTGTAGGGGCTTTGAAGCCAGTTGGCTGTCTTCCTCCCTCATTCTGCACGTAGTTCTAGTAGCTCTCCACCCCCATCTGAATGGCCTTGAGGCCTTGTCAAGCCCTATAGCCCCAGGGCTGGAGCTTCTACTTAGCTCCGAGGCTCCCAGGCCCTGACAGTGAGTCCTCCCAAGCGTGAAATTCTTACCCTACGGTGTCATTATCAGCAAGTGCTGGCCTTTCTGCTACACCCTCCAGCCTTTTCCTTGAGCGTCCACTGCAGCGGGGACTTCAGGATCTCTGTCCAGCCTCCTCCCTGGACGCTGCCTCCACCTGACAGGCTGTTCTCAGACTTACCGCTCACTCCTTCCCATGGCGTCAGCCTCCTCATTCTTGTGTCACCTCATACATTGTTGCCTGCAAGGAGCTGGCTGGTCCCTTATTTGAAGCAATCCCCCCTTACTCATACCACCTTATTTTTTAACTGAGATAATTCACATACCATATAATTCACAGTTTAGTGGGTTTTAGTATATTCACAGAATTATGCGTCCAACACCACAATCAATTTTAGAACATTTTCACACCCCCATTAACCATTATTCCCTATGCTTCTCCCCAGCCCCTGGGAACCACTAACCCACTTTCTATCTTTGTGGAGTTGCCTGTTTTGGACATTTCGCAAAAATGGAATGGACATTTCACACTGTGTTGCCTTTTGCATCTGCCTTCTCTCGTTAAGCACCATGTTTTCAAGGTTCATCCACAAGTCACATCAGTGCTTCACTTCTTTTCCTGGCTGAGTAGTACTTCAGTGTGTGGATAGCCATGTTGTGTTTAGGCATTTGGGTTGTCCCTCTTTTTGGCTATCATGAATCCTGCTGTTGTGAACGTTCATATGCAAGTGTTGACTCTGAGAAATAAAATACCTTCTAAGAAGGACTCCTTGTGGTTAAGTGAGCCTAATTCATAACCAGGGTCTAGCAGCGCTTGTTTACAGAGGCCTTTTGTGCAAGGTGCATAACAGGGAAAGGTCACAGACTGACCTGGAAGCCTCCTGCACTGTGCTCCTTCCTGCTGAGTCACCCTTATACGACTGCTTGTAGAATCAAAATTTGGCCAATAGGAGACTTTTTCTGTCCAATCAGAACTGTGCAGCTTTACACTCATTTGCATTTTTACTGATCCATCAGAATATCTCCTTTTTAATAAGTTAGTATGCTGCTATGCAGATCAATCAAACTTTGATTATTTGGAGTCCTCATTTGCATGGAAGTTGACCAATCAGGGACCAGGAGTAGAAACTTTTCTCTGTATATGTCAGTCTACCCTGTGATTTTGTGGAGTGGGTTTTCAATTCCCTGTGAATACTGTGGATTCCCTGGCCAGAGCTGTGACACCTGAACCACCTTCCTCAGCTTCTTAAGTCTTCTCCCCTTCACCCCTGCACAGCACCCCAAATTTGGGGTCTCTGGCTGCATTTAATTGGTGGTAATGAACTTTGGACTGTGGATGTGAGTTTTCAGTTCCCATGGTCATACACCTAGGAGTGGAACTGCTGGGTCAGATGGTAACTCTGTGTTTAACTATTGGGGTGGTTTCTACAGCGGCTGCACCTTTCCCATCAGCAATGCCCGAGAGCTCTTTCTTTATCTTCTTCACTTATTTATTATTCTTTAGAGACAGGGGAAGGGAGGGAGAATGAGAGGGAGAAGAACATTGGTATGTGAGAGATACATCTATTGGTTGCCTCTCACATGCCCCCAACCATGGACCTGGTGCACAACCCAGGCACATGCCCTGACTGGAAATTGAACCAGTGACCCTTTGGTTCACAGGCCAGCAGCACTCAATCTACTGAGTCACATCAGTCAGGGCTATTATCTGCCTTTTTATTACAGACATTCTAGTGGCTATGAAGTAGCGTTTCACTGTAGTTTTGATTTTCATTTTCCCAATGGCTCACGATGTTGAGTACTTTTCATATTCTTATTGTCTACTTGTATGTCTTGTTTGGAGAAACATGTATTTGGATCCTTTGTTCATTAAAAAATTTTAAATATGTTTATTGATTTTAGAGGGGAGGAAGGTAATGAGAGAGAAGGAAAGAGAGAGACATGTATGTGAGAGAAAAACATAGAGTGATTGCCTCCCATACACACCCTGACCACACCCTGAACAGGGATCACATCTGCAACCTAGATGTGTGCCCTGGCCGGGAATCAAACCCTCAACCTTTCGGTGTAAAAGGATGATGCTCCAACCACTGAACCACACCAGCCAGGGCTCCTTTGTCTGTTTTTTAATTGGGTTATTGTCTTTCTAAATTTAGTTGTAAGCATTCATTATATATCCTAGGTCTAAATTCCTTATCAGATACATGATTAACCAATATTTTCTCCCATACTATAGGTTGTATTTTTATTTTCATATTGTTCTTTGAAGCACAGACGGTTTTATTTTGAAAAAGTCCGATTTATTTTTTCTTTTGTTGTGTGTGCTTTGGGTGTTATAAGAAATCGTTGTTTAATCCAAATTCACAAAGATTATATTACCTGTTTTTGTTTGAAATTATTTTGTAGTTTTAAGAAGTATTTGTTAAAAAAAACATTGAGACCTCAGAGTAGGCTTTCCAGACAAAATACAGTACTGCCAGTTACATTTGAATTTCAGATAATGAATGAGATAAATAGCGAATAGTTTTATGCAAAAACTGCATGGGCTAGTTACACTAATAAACTACTCGTTTCCCGCCTTACATTCAAATTTAACTGCCATCCAGGTGTCATTTGCTAAATCTGGCAGCCCCCGCCTCTTCCAGGTGACATTATCCCACCTGTTCACAGGGATCTCTGTGGCCTCCCTCACTGCTTTTATTTTTGTATTGTGGTAAAATACACATGATATAAACCGAGCATTTTAATCACTTTCAAGTCAGCTTAGGTCTTGAGTAACACGCTGAACAAATGGATGATTTGCCCCAGTTTCCTAGCAACGTGACCACGCCCTAGGTCGCAGGGCGTGCTCCAGTCACGTGGTGCCACCGTCCTGCCTGGGTAGTGCAGGCCAGTTTGGGTTTGCGCCTGAGTACGTGCGTTCTCACGCGTGCGCAGACTGCGGCCGGCGGGCCAAGCGCGCTCCGCCCTGCGCGCGCGCTTCCGGCCCGCTTTCCGGGTTCTTATAACGCTGCGGGCGTTGGTTGGCAGCGAAGGCGAAGGAGACATGGCGATGAAGCTAGTTGTGGTCCTCGGGCTCGCGCTGCTGGGCGCCGAGAGCGGCTCCAGAGCGGGTAAGGACTGGGCCTGACGGACGCGGGTCCAGCCTCGGGGGCCCCTCCGGCGTGGGTGGAGGGGTTACTACCCAGGAGCTCCAGGAGCAGCAGTACCCGGAGTTAACAGTCACCTACGGGGCTCGCAGCAGAGGTAGTGTGTAGGGAAACCCCGGCATGGGAGGCTCCGGGAGTCCGACGAGATTCTGGAGGTGAAGTCTCAGGTTTTGGGAGCCCTGGGGAAGGGACCAGGGTCCGGGAGTGGCCTGACCGTGGTGAGGGTACCTGGGGAGAGGATCTGGATACGGCCCCCCACCCTTTCCCTGCAGGGAAGGACTATCCTATTGGGTCCTACAGCGTCCCCTTTGGACGGGAGCCCAGGAGCCTGGGGAGGCAGCTTGAGAGTGGGCCTCCCCCACGCCCCCGCCGGCCGGGGTTGTACTGGGACAAGAGGTGCAGCTGAGGACCTCCTGGGCTCCTTGGGGTCCTTGGCTCTCATCTGGAAAGGGGGCTTTTCCCCTCAAGTAGACGCAGGAAGGAAGTGCACGTGAGTGTCCCTGAGGCGGGCAGTCTTGGATTTGGCAGGGATTGTCATTCTTGACGGGATTTAGGTCCCGAGTCTCAGTCTTGCTCTGGGTATGCACCTGCTCCTGGTGTTAGCACAGACATTTAAATTTAAATCCTTGTAGGGAAGCCAACACTCTCTGCCGCCTGTTTTTCTGATTTCCCTGCACAGATGAGATGGCGTATCTAGTTCACCCACCTCCTTTTCCAGGGATGGAAACAGGCCTAGGAGGGGAGGTAGAATATTCCAAGGTCACTGTGAGGTTGCCCTGTTCACCCAGTAAAGAGCTGGAAGTGGAGAAAATGTTTGCAGACTATAAAACAGCATTAAATTTTAGAGCTTTTCTTGGGGGATGGACAGATGTGATTTAGAGAATGTTCATGAGAAACAGAGTAACATATAATTTTCCAGGGCTAGGCCTGATAGACATTTTCTTCCTGTATTGAGACTTCCCATTTGGTTCTGGGTTAAAGATTTCTAGTGACCGGCATGTAGGGAATAAAGTGCAGACCAGAATGACTTTGGGCTCTTCTGGGGAGATAGCTCCTAGGGGGCTCTGAGTGGCATGTGAACTGCCCTGGGCAGGGGCCTGGAAGGACTGCCTCTTGAATAGGCTTCACTGAGTTACTTCTGATCTACCTTATGATCTCAATTGCATCTCTCTTCTCCCTTGCAATCAAGATACCCATTTATTGAATGCCTCTGGGCAAGGGCCTGTCTGCCTGCTACTGCTGTCTGGAAAGACTCAGGAGCCCATAGGTGAAGTGAGTTTGGAAGTTACACAGCTGCATTTGGCAGCTTGAGCCCTTTAGAAATAGCCCCCGATGGCTGTAGTTGGCCAATGGGGTGAAAGGGCTCGTGCTCTTTCTCTGCTGCGAACAGTTTCTGAGTTTGTTCCTCTCTCCTCAGAGCGGAAGCTCTGGGTGACTCTCCAGAGCTGTGGCCAGGAAGCCTAGAGGATCTGTGCCATTGTACATTGGGGCTGTTCTTGCACCCTTACCTCATGTCTGACTGCCCTGGGACTCCTGTCTGTTTTGTTCCCCCCTTTCACTTTAGACAGTTCACCTTTCCCAGGGACTCTTGGAAAGATCTTAAGGTCTTTCGAAGGATGTCGCCACACATCCTTTTTCTGCCTGGGAGGGCTTAGTGGCAGTGTTTACCTTTCCTGCCCAGGTCAGCGCTCCAGAAATGCTTTGGGAGTTCTTGCCAGGAGCAAGTTCCCTGGTCCCCTGAGGTCCCAGGAGTGATTCTCCTGCCAGGAGACCCTGGCTGTCCCTGGGATTGCCCAGAGCCCTGTTGTCCTGGCCAGGCAGGTCAGGAGGGTGCTGCCTTTCCAGCTGGATCTCTTGGGCTCATGACTTGGCCTCTCTGAGCCTCCGGTGAGGGGGGCAGGAGCCACCTCCTGGTGGGATGGAGGGACTAGGCAGGGAGGTAAGGAGGCCATGGCTAGTATCCCTGAAACATTCTTGGCTCCTATCTGGGCCCTGCAGTGCTGCCATGGGTGGAGAGGAGGGCGGGTACCTTCAGCCTCATCCTGCAAGTTTCTTGGCTGTTTGCCTCGAGGCCTGTCTGGCCCCATGCCCCGAGCCTGGCTGCTGAGTGGGCACCGAGGAGGGGTGGTTGTTTTTAGATGAAGGTGACTTTACTTGGCAATGTGGGTTGCAGTCACAGGGCCAGAATCACCAAATGGCGTTTTCGCTTTTCTTTCTCCGATCTCCTGGTGCTACTGTGTCCTGTCCCTGTGAATTCTAGGGGTGCTTCCCCCAAGTCCTGGACATTTAGTTTGGCCAGGGGTTGTTAGAGGATGTGCTTTCAACCTTTCTCCAACATCACTCTCCAGCCACCCTACACCCCAACCTTGGGAGATTTTTTCTCCTAATAGCCCTGTCCCAGTGACATTTTAACATTAGATGTTAACATCACTTACAGTGGCAGGTCTTTGTGCATGGTGACCCCAGGTAGGGTCACAGCCATTGTAATTCCTAGACACCCCTCCTTTCCCTGGAAGTGATGTGGCCCTGTTGAAGATGCATGAGAGAAATGTGATAACATGGTGGCCAGCTCACAGGAGGCTCCCTGGTGAGATGGCTGGCAGGTGGCCCAGGTGGGGCCTTGGTACCACGTCGCTCGTAGCCCTCAGTCCAGAGCAGGAATGCCTGCCTGAGGGGCTCTAGGCTCACTTTCAAGGCACCTCTTTCTGCCACAGGGAGGCAGGTATGACTGGGATGAGATCTGACCGACCTCCTCTCTGGCAGCCCCTGGGTAAAGGGATAAGAGCACAGGTGAGGGTTCAAGGCTCTACAGTAGAAGGAGGCAGGCCCGTCTGGGAGAAGGACTGCCTTGGCCTCACTTCCTGCCCCAACTGCTCTAGCTTGGCACATAGCTGCTTGTTTTGCAGTCTTGGGAAATTTTAATTCCTGAGAAGTATGGATTACTGGGTGGCTTCCAGGTCAGGCAGTGGAGTTTCTAGCTTTAACTGCCTGTCCTGAGCCCTGTGAGTTGCCTTTAGACCACCCCAGGTGGGAATATGTGAGGTCCACTTGCTACTGGGGCCTTGGAGCTGCCTTGCCCCAGAACAGACAGCCTGGGCTCCCAGGACCTCCTGACCAGCAGCCTGTGCTCTCCTCCGGGCAGCAAGGGAACCGTGCTTGCACGCATGCGTTTGTGTGTGGGTTCATGTCTCTGTGTGTGCACCCCTACCGTCCACACATGCATACGTGTAGGGTATGTATGTCTACACACCCTGGGAGCAGATGGGTGCTCCAGCCCCAGATCCCTCCTTGCATTTCCTGTCTGGCTGTGGTTGAGCTTTTTGTTTCATCCCTGCTTGCCTGGAATTCTGAGACAACGTGTCTTCTTTTAAAGAAAGAGCCAACAGGTAGCCAGCGGTGGATTGGTGAGGACTGGCCTGTAAAGGAAGCGACCCTGCCTGGCTGTGCATGTGTCCTGCCCCCATCCTCCCAGACTAGAATCGCAGCCAGAAAGCTGGGTCTGCGTGCCTCAAGTTGACAGTGGGGCAGGGCAGGGGGCCACTGTCCCACTGAGGACCTAAGTGCCAGGACCGTGGGCCATTGCCCTGAGACCCAGTACAGGTGTGGGGCTGGGGCTGCACGCTGACCTCAGACTGTCTGAGGAGAGACCAGGTGTATTCTGCCTGTGGGTCATTCCAGATCTAGCTGTGAAGTCTATGGGATAAAGTTCTTCTGCTCCCCTTTTAGATTTTGAAGTTTAATTTTCTTAATGACTAACTGGGTCTCTCTGTGGATGGGTAAGGCCAAGCATGCTTTGCTCATGTGATGAGAGTCTGGTGTGGTGTCCAGTGGATGCAGGAGAATACCTTTCCTGTCATTTCCCTGTGGAGTGGGGTATTAGGTATAAGCCAGAGGTTTGCTACTCGTGGTATCGATTTATCCTGCTGCTGAGGCCTAGGCAGCTAAGATGACCATCCAGACGGGGGTCACTACCTCTGATCATTCTGCCCAGTTTCCTGTGTTTCATTCTGTGATTTCAGAGTTTTGCTTGCAAAGTCACTGGGTGTCTCCAGTGAGGAGGCGGAGGTTCAGGTGGGATGGGCCTGCTGGGTGGCTGCCAGGCTGCTAGGTTTCTTGTAGCCACTTTTTTGCTAGTGTGGCAGCCTCTGAACTTAAGTTGTTCAAACACAGTCTTATGTTGTGCTTTTTCACCCAGCTATGCCACAGGCTTCTCCCCACAGACCAAAAGGAAAAGAGGCTCACTGTAAACGGCTCTGGCTGAATCGCTTTATGCTTAATTCTGTGGGTACAGCCTTTTAGAGGGGGAGTCTCCAGGGCCCCAGAGTATGGGTGACCGTCCTGGAGAAACAGACACTTCCGTGTAAAGCTCTGCCTTGGAGTCACCCCAAGGAGGTAGATGGGGGCCAGTGTGGGCAGCCTCGTGGTGCCCAAGACCCCACAGTGGTGGGGCAGAGGTGTCCACACTCCTGCTCCCACCCCTGGGACAGGGCTCTGCTGTGCACAGGTGTGTGCTTGTTGCCCTGCTGGTGGTTGGTCAGCATCTGGTGTGGCTGTGCAGTGGTGGCAGAAGGCTCCATCCCCCTCACCTTGACCTCTGGTCCATGGAACACCTGCCTTGCTTCCTCCGTGAATGCTGGGGGATTGGGGTTCACCTCCCATTTCTGGTCTCTGAAGAGGAGCCCTCCTAGCTTACACCCAGTCTCTTATGTTTCTTACTGGATTCTAAGTGGTTTTCACATTTCTTTCTTTCTTTTTAAGCTTTTGTTTATTTTGAGAGAAAGGGAAGGGGAGGGAGAAAAGAGGAAGGAAAACATCTATTGGTTGCCCCTTGCACACCCCCAACTGGGGACCTGGCCCGCAACCCAGGCACGTGCCCTGACTGGGAATTGAACTGGAGATGTTTCATTTTGCAGGTTAGTACTCAATCCGCTGAGCCACACCAGCCAGGGCTGATTTTTCACATTTCACTGCCTCAAGAGACCATCCAAAACTAATGGGGAGATTTGCCTAAATGGAAATTGAGTTAAAGGACCTTTGCTAGTGGGAGTCCACCCTCAGTGTCCTGGGCAGGACAACAGACTGTCTCCTGTATGGTGGCTTTATGGCAGTTGCGAATGAGCCGTGGCAACTCCTGGCCTGGGAAGAAGGCTCTTTCAAGGATGGGGGCAGCTGGCATGCCCTGGCCCTATCATCTCCTGTGCTGACCAGCCCACAAGCCCAGCACACCTGTCCCCGTCACGGTGGTTTGCTTTGAGGAAGAAGAGGAATGTGCAAGACTGTCCAGTGAGGGAGTGGTGCCCTGGGCACAGATAGATTTTTTAAAATATTTTATTTATTTTTAGAGAGAGGGGATGGGAAGGAGAGAGTGGGAGAGAAACATCAATGTGTGGTTGCCTGTCATGTGTCCCCTACCAGGGACCCGGCCCACAACCCAGGCATGTGCCCTGACTGGGAACCAAACCAGTGACCTTTTGCTTCACAGGCCTGTGCTCAATCCACTGAGCTACACCAGCCAGGGCAGATTTTTTTTTTTTTTTTTAAGGAAATTAGGGTCTGTACTGGGCTGGGCCCATGAGTTGGGACCCCAAGTGGGTGTTGGCCTCTCTTCCCACACCCGAGACCCCTGTCTGCTGACAAAACCCTCCTCAAGCCCCTTTCTCACCCAGTAGCTCTTCAGAGCCGAGGCTCCATTAACTCCAAAGCAGAGACCCTTCCTGAACGTGCCAGCGAGGCTTTGGACTTGTCAACAGGGCTGTGGCTTCTCTGCCCTAAGAGGGCACTGTGACTGTGGAGGTGCCACTGCAGATTTGCTACAGGACAACGGGGCAGGTGGCTGGGGGAGTCACAGACTTTCTCCTTCTCTGATCCCTTGGTTAATCTCTCATTTGGCCACACAGAGAGCCAGATCTTGACTTCCCAAGAGTCTGATGGCTCCAAAACACGCCTCACCTGCACCTTCAATGGCAGTGATGCTGAGATCCTGGGCCACCGCTGGATGAAAGGGGACATTGTGCTGAAGGAGGATGAGCTGCGCAGCAGGACAACGCAGTTTGAGTGCGTGAGGCCCACAGAGGCACCCAGGCCCTGTGTCCCACTGGTCCTAGCAGAAGAGGGGTGGAGCCTCTTTTCAGGGGGCTGGTTTCGCCTCAGGCTCACAGGTGTTGCCTGTTTGCTCTGATTGGTTCTCACTGTGGACAGCCACGCTGTCAGCCAGAGTGAAGGCTGTTGTCCTTGGGCCCACACGGACAGACATTAGACACAGCCTCTGCTCAGATCCCTCGGCTGTGAGAAGCCCAGGAACCAGGGAGGATCTAGTAGCGGCCAGGCATCGTGGCCTCTGAGACCCTTTTCTCCTTTCTCTGGATACTGGCATGTGAGAAGGCAACTACAGGGGTCCCCCCAGCCTGCAGTCCCTGAATTCCTGGTTTACTAAGGTCTTAGGCACTCAAGGCTGCCTGTGTTCTGGAAACACAGAACTCTGTTTTTAAGCTTCAGGGGTTCCTGGGTGCAGGGGCTCATTGGTGAGGGTGCCAGGTTGGGAGAAGGCCCAAGCCCATCTGCCATCCCCAAAACCACCTCATTTCTCCTTGATGGGACATGGGCAGTATGTACCCTCCTGACCATCACTGCAGAGGCTGTGCTCTGGCCCCACCTGCAGAGGCAGCTTACGGCCATGTCTGCTTGCAGGGTGGACACAGACGAGTCCTCAGGACAGTACTTCTGCATCTTCCTCCCGGAGCTAGGCAGGACCAGCCTGGGCGTGAAGGGTGAGCTCCGTGGCCCCCAGACTGTGTTGGAAGGGGCAGTTTCCTCTATCTCTGGGGTGAGAGAAGCCTACACACTGAAGGAGGGTCAGCTCCTCCAGGTGGTGGAGCTCAAGCTCCGTCATGCTGTTCTCTTTTTTTTTGTTTGTTTCCTTATTTCTTTTTTTTTTTTTAATTTTATTTAGTTATTTTTCAAGTACAGTTTTCTGTCTATTTCTCCCATCCCAGCCCACCCCACCCCGTGCTCCCCACCTCCCTCCCATTTCCACCCCCCTTAGTTATTGTCCCTGTGTCCTTTATACTTGTTCCTCTAAATCCCTCCATTTTTTTCCCCCTTAAATTCCCTCCTCTCTCCCCTCTGGTTGCTGTCCCATTGTTCTCTATTTCAGTGTCTTTGTTTTTATTCGCCATGCTGTTCTCTTGACCAGGGCCCCCCAAGATCAAGGCTGTGAAGAAATCAGAGCATGCCACTGAGGGGGAGATGGTTGTGCTGACCTGCAAGTCTGAGTCCTTCCCCCCAGTGACCGAGTGGGTGTGGTACAAGATAACCGAAGCTGGGGACCAGGTGAGGGTCGCACCTGCCTGGGGTTGGGGGGGTATGGCCTGGGCCTCCGTGTCCTATTATAAGGTCCACCTGCCCCCAGGTCCTCACCAACAACTCCCAGAACAAGTTTGTGGTGTCCTCGGATACCAAGACTGAGCTGCACATGCAGAACCTGGACCTGGAGGCCGACCCTGGCCAGTATGTCTGCAACGGTACCAGCACGGAGGGCACTGACCAGGTCATCATCACGCTGCGTGTGCGCAACCACCTTGCCGCCCTCTGGCCCTTCCTGGGCATCGTGGCTGAGGTGCTCGTGCTGGTCATCATCATCTTCATCTATGAGAAGCGGCGGAAGTCAGACGACATCCTGGATGGTGAGCTGGCCCTGTGCCCTCAGACCAAGGGCTGAGGTACCATCCAGGTTGAGAGGCCACCCCCTCACCCGGTCAGATCCCCAGGCCTCTCCCCAGGGGTTGCCTCACCTTCTGAGTCTGGGGGTCTGGTGAGCAGCCACCCTCAGCTGCTCATTCTCCCCTCGTAGCAACTGTTTGGGTCCAAGGGCCATTGTCCAAACCAGCCCATGACCATTCCTGACAAAGCTCAGGAAACTTGAGCTGCCTGGGCCTGGCCAGGGTGCCCGCCTGCCTGCAAGCGGACAAGGAGAGTAGGCAGAGCTTCTGGGACCCTCAGGCTGTGACCCCAGATGGCTCATTTTGTACATATGCCAGGGATGGGCCTGGCTCCCCACATGTCCAGTTGGGGACACAGGGCAGGGCCCAACAGGACAAGAACCACCCCTGAGGCCTGTTCTTCTCTTGCATGTGACTTGGCTGCGCATCCACACAGATGAGGACACAGGCTCTGCTCCACTGTGAGTCCTGGCCTTGGCAGTGTCTGGTGAGGGGTTGGTGTGGGCAGGGCTGGGGGAGCTGCTGGCCTGGACACCTCTCCATTGGTGACAGGGGGTGGGGGTGACAGGTAGCTGTTTTGTCCTCCTGAGTCCTGAAAAGCACCCTCCCAATGTCCCCAGGAAGAGCAGTGGGCACCATGTGAATGACAAAGGCAAACAAGTCCGCCAGAGGAACGCCAACTGAGTGAGTCAAGTGAGGGGTGTGGCTCTGGGCGGGATCCGCCCTGCAGTGCTGGAGTCTGAGTGTCCCTCCTCCTGCAGGTGACAAGAGGTCTGCACAGGCCCGAGCTGCCGTCCAGAGGAGCCCGGTGTCCGGCATGTCCGTGCCATTCCAAGTCCTCTCCTCATGAAGGAAACCTGCCCTGCAAAGTAGACCATGCTGTGGGTTCAGATCACATTTTCTCTTCTTTTTAAAAAAATCTAAACTAGGGTTTTCTCTCCGTAGAATTCCATTCCTTCGGGTTTTTGTTTTTTCTTTTTAAGAGCACTCTAGGGGAGCCACAAGGTTCTGTGGGAGGCCCCTGCTGCTCACTGCCCATCCCCACCGTACACTCCAAACCCACACCTTCTGTGTCCCCTGGGCATCTAGCTTTCTAGGCTGTCATGCTGGGGAGCTGTGGAGGGCACACTGGCCTTTTCCTGAGACTCTTGCTATGGCTCAACCTGTTGAGGCTGCTGGGCCTTGGTTCTGCGGCTTCCCTGCCATTTTCAGAAGGTCACAGGTCGAAATGCCCGGCATTCCCCCTGTCTGAATCCAGCACTGTGGCATCGCCACAGGTCTATGTGACGTGGGACGGGCCACCCCTTGGGATATCTTCCCTGCCCTTGGGGATAGCGGTGTAGGCGACCAGCGTGGAGTGGGAGTTGCTGTAACATCCGTGACCATGGTGACTGAAGAAACCTGCACAGCGTCCTCACTGAGATTGGGAAACCCCCCCTCCCCCTCCCACCAACCAATAAAGGCAGATCTGCCTCTCCCTGTCCTGGTTCTTGTCTGCACTGGGCCTGGATCTTACAAGGAGAGCATGGTGGGTGCGGGAGGGGGTTTAGCTTGCAGGGCAAGTTCTAAACTGTGCTGAGGCCCAGAGTAAGGTTACGGGGCAGGGGCAGGGGTGGGGACAGGACAGGGTGGAATGGAGCTGACCACTTGAGCTGGGAGTTTTGTTTTCGGGACAAAGGGTGATAGCAGGGTTAGGTGGACAGGACCGGGAGGGCCCCTGCAGGAGGTCTGAATGGGGTGGGTGGTCACCAGCTGTTTCAGAGGCCCTGGGCAACACCTGGGATCTTTCCCACCAGCTCCAGTGTGGAATAAGCACCCTTGACACACATGTCCCAGGCAGTACCTTCCTTCCCTGTGGTTGGGTGGCCAGTGAGCCGTGGGTGGTATGGGTGGGGACTTGTGGATGAGCCAAAGGACTGTCTAGGACCCAGGTATGGAAAGGTGTGAGTGGGGATGTGGGGGTACCTACAGCCCAGTGTCTTGGGATTGCACTAGTTGAGGTGGGGCTGGGGTCCAGAGAGCACAAAAGGGGTGCCTGCTCACCCAGACTGCACCCTGGCCAGCAGGTTGAAGGGCAGTGTCTTGCTGCACCCTGGTACTACCAGGTACTGTCTAGGCCTCCCACCTGGTGCAGTGGGGAAACTGCGCCAGACAGGAAAGAGCTTGCCAGGGTAACCCCATTTCTATACCTAGGGAGCTCCCCCTTTTGGACATTGGCTCAAACTCAGCAGGTCAGGAGGGCCTTGGACTAGGTCTCCGGAGAAGCAGTTTACTTCAGTGTTGGCAGGAGGTCCAGGGTAACTGCCACAAAGCTGAGGGCTGGTTGTGCCCACCAGGTGTCAGGTGCCCCTACCTGCTGACCAGGCACTTCACTGGGGCCTCCAAGGCCTCACAGCAGTCAGCTGGGAGTCTGGTCTCAAGCTGTGAGGAGAATAGGGGATTCTTCATAAGGACCCCTCACTCTCTCTGCCCTGTATGCCACAGCCTGGGAGGAGCCACCCCTCACTTCACAGGAAGGAACAGGTTGCTCCACGGCAGAAACTCAAGTTGGGGGTTTAGGGGCTGCCCCTGCCCAGTCCTACCCTCTGGCCACCACCAGAGGGTGCCTCGTGCACTTCACCAAGTGGTACTGGGTCCGGGGAAGTAAGTCCACAGAGCCCTTTGTTTACTGCCTGGTCTTGGGTGCCTTCCAGCTGGACACACCTGGGTCCCAACCTCCCTGAGCCCTGAGGTCCCTGAGAACCCACCACTTTAACTTTTCTGTGGCCTTAAGGTACACATGCCTACTTGTTACTCAGCAACATCGAGTGGACACCAGTGGGGCTGAGGATTCTTTGGACAGGCTGAGGGTCCAGTGGTCAGAGCCAAACACGTGGTGACAGTGAAGCTGGCCCACTGTTGCGGATGGCTTGGCTGGACCTCCTCCTGGGCAGCCCATCCTTCCTGGGCTTGAGTGGGCGTGTTTGCTTGCTTGGAATCAGAGGGGTGGCTGCACTGGGTTCTTCATCAAGACAGGCAGCGCTGTGGGGTTGGAAGTGATCTCACGGAGTGCAGAGCAGCAGATGGGAGTGTGCAGAGCAGAGGGATGAGCAGGAGACCTTGTGGTAGGTTCATACAAAGCACCCTCCCCTGGGGAGGGACACCACTCGACATGCGTGTATGGCTGTTCAGTTCCTGTGCACACAGGAAAATAAACCTGATTAGCAACTAGGCCAGCAGCCTTGTTCCTTTTCCTCACGCTAAGCATTTGTGTTCATCTAAACACGCAGCAGGCAGTCCTGTGTCACAGAGGGATGTGGCACAACCCGCTGGAACCTACATTTTCAGGGGTGGGATAGACAAGCCAAAGCAGCCAAGTCTCAGGTTTATGACAGCACCTCTGGCAAGTGCATGCAGGGTTTAGAAACTGGGGTCTCAGGGTCGTAGCCTGCTTGGGACAGTGGGGCTGTCGGGTAAACAAGGGCCCGTTCCCTGGGCTGCTTGGGGACGCTCCACCTGCTTCTCCAGACCAGACCAGGTGAGGACAGGACCTGTGGCAGAAGCCTCTGCGGGCCTTTCAGCATCACCCCCCCTCTGGGGCCAACCCTAAGAGTACTTCTGCTTCACCTGAAACGGGGGAAAAAAAGAGAGAAAAAGAAAGAAGAAATGAAAGGAAAGGAAAAGAAGGAAAGAAAAGGAAAGGAAGGAAGGAAAGAAAGAAAGAAATGAAGAAAGAGAAAGGAAAGAAAGAAAAGAGAAAGAGAGAAAGAAAGAAAGAAAGAAAGAAAGAAAGAAAGAAAAAGAAAGAAAGAAAGAAAGAAGAAAGAGAGAGAGAGAGAGAGAGAGAGAGAGAAAGAAAGAAAGAGAGAAAGAAAGAAAGAAAGAAAGAAAGAAAGAGAGAAAGAGAGAAAGAAGAAAGAAAGAAAAAGAAACAGAGATGGGGGCTGTCAGGCTGGTCCTCCCTCCTCATCCTACCCCCAACCCGGGCAGGGAGTGAGCTCAGCAGGGAAAGAAACCCAGGTGAGCCCTAGGTCAGTACAGCTGGAGACTCCAACCTATGGCACAGACGATGCCCTGGGGAGTGATGCTCTGCCTAAGCTCACACACCACTTTGGGTGGACACCAGGGCTCTGCTCTGCACAATGCCGTTTGTGCATGTGACTCAAGAGACATGGGAATGGCATCCCCCCTTCCTAGAGGTAAATGTAGGGGTCCTGCCTCACATGGTTGGTCAGACATTCAGGATTTCTTGAGTGTGGCAGTGGATTTTCCAAGTGGCCCTTGAAGCTTAAACTCCAGGGCCCCTCACTGGTCCCCAGACTATGGGCTTAAGGGCTTTGGACCTGGCCCTGCCCCAACAGCTGAGAGGGTGCTCAGAGGGGTGGGAAGCAGTGACTGGGAGGTCAGGACTGGCTCTGCGGGGCGGCCCTGAGTGAGGGGAACAGCAGGGCAAAGGCCCAGGGCCTGTTGGAGGCTCAGGTTGGGAAGGCCTGTGTGCCCAGAGCTCTGGTTGGTAGGAGGGACTGGAGCTCCTTTCAAAGGTAGTGGGGAGTCAGGAGCAGTTTTAGGCAACAGACTTAGGTAAACTGACTTAGAGTTGAATACCTGTCTACACAGTCTGGTCTCACACCACCGTCTCTTGGTGTTATGTATACCCATCCCGTAGGTCCTCAATATCCCTTTTCACACAAGCCAGTCACCGTCCTGCCTGAGGGCTTTTGCACAGGTTGTGCCGTCTGCCAGACACTCCTGCAGATGTCCATATGACACTGTCCCTCCCCTCCTCCAGGACTTCCCTCAGATGTCACCTCCTCCTCAAGGCCTGCAAATGTCACACCCCACACCTTACCGCTTTCCTGGCCTTGAATGGTTGTGTAGCACTTAGCAACTTTTAAAGGATGATGTATCTACTGAACGTAAGGTTTGCACTGTTGGTCATCTGTCTCCTCTGCTTGACTGTCAGCTCTGCCAGAGAGAGGTGGCCCGTTAGGTTCCCCCTGAGTCCCAGCCCCTGAACAGATGTTTATAAATATTTTTGGAAGGCATGAATGAGTGAGTGCATTCAGTGCAAAGAATACTTTGCCCTGGCAAGTACTGAGAGTGAGTGGAAGAGATGGGGAGGCTGGTGGCAGCCTGGCCCAAGGTGGAGCCTGCAGTTTGGGGAGAAGTTGCCAGGACTTGAGGACAAGACTCCCAAGTCCCAGAGTCCTCTGACTCACAGGTCACCTCCAGGTCCCTTGGAAGCAATTTCAGGTCTGCCTCTCCCACTGCCAGGCATGGTGGGTTCTCAGGCTTGTACTCAGTTCACTTACCCACTCTCAGCAGGGCAGGCCCCAGGGTCCTGGCAGCCTGCCCAGACTGACATCTTCCTGGGGCGAGCATAAAAGATCCCCCTTCATCGGGAACACACATCTGCTGGGAGCAGGGTGGGGGGAGACAGGCTGGCACTGCCAACTCTACCCAACCTCTCACTGCCTCTGGACAGACAGCAGCCCTGCCTGCCTGCCTGCCCATCTGGCTGAGGGCACCACAGAGGTGGTCCCTGGGCCAGGCCCACCTGGTGAAGGAGCGGGAATTCCTAGGGCTCAGAACAGCCTGATGGGGGCGGGGGTGCTGAGAGATGGCCTTACTCAGCTCATCCATGTCCACATGGGCCCATTTCAATCACTGTGGAGCACCTACTATGTGCAGGAACAAGTCACGTCTCCACCTTCATGGCCTGACATGCTGATGGGTGGAGGCACCCAGTACAACATCAGGGTGAAAAGTGCCATGAAGGTTGGAGGATCCCAGGAGGACTCCTGTGTCCTAGGCTGGGATGTTCCACTCCTGAGACCCCTCCTCTTCTCTCTTCCCTCTTTCTCTCCTTTGTGCCCAATTCTGTCTCCATCACCCTTCTCTCAAGAAATGTTCCCCCACTCTCTGGTTCAGCTGTGGGGGAAAGTGGGGAGGGGGCATAGGGACAAAGTCTTGGACCTGTGCCCCATGTCATCTAACACCAACCTTGCTCCAGCCTCAGAAACAGAACCTCAAGAGTCTTCTCAGAGTTGAGGCAGAGAAATTGGGCAGCGTGGTGGGGCATCTGATGGGAAGGGACAGCAGGCTCTGGGATCCCCTGGCCTCCCGGACATTACCCACATTTAAAGCCCAGCAGCCTTATAGGAGACCCAGGCCCCCACTGTGGTTTAGGGCGCCATTGGAGAGTGTGGGTCGTTATCAGCCTTAGGTGGCTCTTCCTGTCAGCCTAAGTTTCCTTATATGCAGGAGAGGGGCGACTGTGGGACGGGCGATATTAACCCCACTTTGCCCCTCCCCACGTAACACATTCCCACTTGAGGGTTTTGTCAAAGGCCCTCAAGGGCCCTTGAACAAGCCAAGGGCTCCTGTGGCTTTAAAACCAACCTTTTATTATGAAATCCTCAAACCCGTGGAAAGGAAAGAGGTTACCACGGGAACGCCCCCACTTCTCTGTCCCACCAGCACGGTTACCACCCCGCCAGGAGCAATGGACAGAGGCGGACCCAAGGCCCCATGCCAAGTCAAGGTCGCGCGCAAAGGCTCCGGCCCCGCGACTGAGCTCGGTGACCTTGGGCGCGTCCTTTCGTTTCGCGGGCCTTCGTTGCCACTTCTGGGGAGAGGCCTAAGCGGATCTCTCAGGTCTTGGGCCGCGTGACCTTGGACTGTCCCCGACCCCGCAGGCTCAGTTTCCCGGTCGCGAAGCCAGAGCAAGCCGCGCAGAGGGCGCAGGCAGAGGCGGGACTGCCGCCCCTGCCCAGCCCCAGCGAACCAGGCTCCGCCCCACGCGGCTCCGCCCCGCCCCGCCCCCGCCTCCCCCGCCTCCCTCGGGCTCCGGCCAGCGGCGGCGGCGGCGGCTCCGCTCCGCACTGCCCGGCGCCTCCTCACCATGGACGCGCGCGGGGGCGGCGGGCGGCCCGGGGAGAGCCCGGGCGCGACCCCCACTCCGGGGCCGCCGCCGCCACTGCCACCCGCGCCCCCACAGCAGCAGCAGCCGCCGCCGCCGCCGCCGCCTCCCGCGCCCCCTCCTGGCTCCGGGCCCGCGCCCCTCCAGCAGCCTCCCCGTACTGAGGCGGCGCCCCCGGAGGCGGCGGACGAGGGCGGCCCTCGGGCCCGGCTCCGAAGCCGCGACAGCTCTTGCGGCCGTCCGGGCACTCCGGGTGCTGCGAGCACGGCCAAGGGCAGCCCGAACGGTGAGTGCGGGCGCGGCGAGCCGCAGTGCAGCCCCGCGGGGCCCGAGGGCCCGGCGCGGGGGCCCAAGGTGTCGTTCTCATGCCGCGGGGCAGCCGCGGGCCCCGGGTCGGGCCCGGCCCCGGGGCCCGGCTCGGCAGACGAGGCGTGCAGCGAGGAGGCGGGCCCGGCAGGAGAGCCTCGCGGCAGCCAGGCCAGCTTCATGCAGCGCCAGTTCGGCGCGCTCCTGCAGCCGGGCGTCAACAAGTTCTCGCTGCGGATGTTTGGCAGTCAGAAGGCCGTGGAGCGCGAGCAGGAGCGCGTCAAGTCGGCCGGGGCCTGGATCATCCACCCGTACAGTGACTTCAGGTACGGTTACCGGGAGGGACGGGCCGGCGCGGAGGGGTCACAGCGAGCGGTTGCGCGGGGACCGTCCTTGGAGCGCCTCGCGGAGGTCTGAGCAGTGCGCCCCGCAGGTGACCTCGGGGCCCCTGGGTGACCTCGGGAGCGTCCGGGAACCGCCTGGAATGACCTGGGTGTGCGAGGCTCCGCCCTTGGAGGGGCACTGGGAGGCTCGCGCAGACTCCTGCCGTAACCCTGGCGCTCCCCCACGCACCCAGACATCCCCCGCCCTGCCGGGAGGGCGCACATCACGGACCACAGGACCAGGGTCTGAGCGCGGAGGGACGGAGAGGACGAATAGAGGGGAACGTGGGTGCTGGGGACGCGGCGAAGCGGAAGGAAGGAGGAAGGAAGTGCGCCCGGGAAGGAGGCGCCCTGGAAAGTCTGGCAGATAAAGGGTTAAGCAGACACGGCCCGCTTCCACGATTTCTACCTGCGCTCCACGCCACAGGGAGGCGCGTCCCTTCCCCGAGGCTGGATACTGCGTGAGGAGGGAGCGCTTAGCATCTCGGGGTCCCCGGGCAGGCTGTGTCCTGTGAGCCTCATCAGTCTCAGCTGCTGTGCACATGTGTCAGTGGGTGTGTAGATTTGGGTAGAAATTAAACCGGTTGATTGATGCGTGGAAAGGCGCAGAGTGAGGCCGAGCGCAGGGTCACCACCGTACCCTCACTGCTCCTTCTGCAGCCAAGAGGAAGCTTAGGGCCACCCAGCAAGACCTGTATTATTGCCCTTCTTGTTCCTGGGAGAGCGCTCTGTGGCTTGTGAGTGTGGACAGTGCACATCACTGCAGATCGTGTGTGCGATCACGAGCATGTGACTGCGAGGAGCGGGGGTCCTGGGGGCGTGGGAGGAGTAACAGGGAGGAGCGTGTTCCTAGGGGTGTGCCTGCGTGGTGAGTCGCTGATATGTGATAGAGGAAGATAGAGTGTGTGCGCGTGTGCCCGGATGGGTGTGCACAGGTGGGAAGTGTTTGTAAATTATGTGCACGATATATATGAGGTTTTGTGTACGTGAGTGGGGTCCATGTGGGACGCATCCATGCCGCCTAGGCCCTGCTCTCAGGGCGGGCGTGATTTCAGCACCACGGACAGCATCCCAGCCGCAGCTCTGCGTCCGCTAGATCTCGCAGCGCAGAGGTTCTCCCTCCCCAGCCCTCCCCACCCACCCATCTTCCACTGCCGTGTCCGGGGTCTCCACTTGACAGATGGGGAAAGTGAGACTCGGGGATACACAAGTCCGAGACTAGGCTCGAAGAAAGTCCTGGATTTCAATTCGTCACCCCTCAGACCTTCCCTGGGAGGTGAATGCAACCTTGATCAGTGACTTGAGTTTTGAGAAAGGCCGGGGAGGAGGGGGAGAGCACCGAGGGGCAACCAGTATGGGATGCATCTGAATGGTCCCGACCTGCGTGGGTGTTCAGCATGCCTGTGTAGATGGTACAAGCTGGGAGAGCCTGGGTCTTGGCTGTGAAGGGTCATGTTCCAGTGTGTCAAACAGGGAGCTGGTGCTGTCTGCCTGGGAAGGTACATGGGGGACATGGTGGTCAGGGGGAGATGGCTGCAGAAAGTGACTATCCCCCCATTCCCTCCAGCACGTGGGTGGCCCTAGGCTCCCCCTTCCTTAGAGTGGGGCTTGGCTGCGGGGTGCTGGGAGGAGCAGTTGGCCTCCCCATCCTGTGCCCCTTGAGCACAGTTGCCTGTGGGATCCTGGGCAGGCCATAAGGTCTGGGCTGGTCAGATAAATTGTAAAGTTGGATGAGTAGGGGGGGTGGCCTGTAGCTGGGACTAGAGGAGCAACAGTCAAACGGAAAAACTTGAGCTGTTGCCAAGCTGGGATGTAGCAGGACCTCCACAACCCCCATGCTTTGGGAACTGTGCCCCTTCTAGACCCTTCTGATTCAAGATGGAGACAGACCTCAAGCATGTGACCAAAGCAATGTTTCCTGAGCACTCCCTGAGCCAGGTGCTATTGGAGCACCTTGCAAATATTGATTCAATCCTCATGTCCACTGTGTGGTAGGTGCTGCAGCTGCCTGCATTTTACACTCGAGAAAGGTGGGGCACAGAGAGGTAAAGTCACTTGCTCAAAGCCACACAGCTAGCCAGGGGGAGATCAGACATTCACACCTGGGCCAGATGGCCCCTGTCTCCATGTCCTTGACTTCTGGGCAGTATGGCCTCTGGCCACATCCTGTACAGGCCAAGAGTACATGGGAGGAAAAGGCATTTCAAGGGGTGTTCAAGATATTGGGGGCACCCAAAGGTGTGCCGTGGGTTTTCTCTAAGTTTGCATATGTGCGTTTTATAAAAACCTGTCACAGAACAGTGGGGAGGGGCCTGTCTGGCCCACTTTTCCACTGTTGCTTCCTTATGTCCTCAACACCCACGATGCAGACACCATCCCCGTGGGTGTCCATGACCACACACTGTTCCAGTTAAAGAGGGAAAGTGGGGTGGTGAGGTGGAGGCTACTGCCCAGCCCCCAAGGTCCCCACCTAGTGCCACGGGGTCTCCACTTCTTTGAGCTATGACTTTGTTGCTCGCCAGTGGGGCCCATCCATGCACACAGGCCTGAGACTTGCCTGGCATTGAGAGCAGGACAAATACTGCGAAGTGCACTAGAACGGCCCTGTCTGTGCCTTGTTCTGCAAGGGCTGCTGTGGAGCATCCAGGGAGGGGGGTATTTTGCAGAGTTCTGCAGGAGGGAGATGACCCAGCTGAGACCTTACTGTGGAGGGTGTCTGCTGCAAGCCTCTGTGCCGCCTTGAGTCCTCTCTGGCACTACCTGCTCGGTTTGTCCAAATGTGATGTGGTGTGAGGGGAAGTGGGTATCTGGCTTTCACAGCTGTGCCAGCATCTCTCCAGGCCTCAAATCTCACACCTCTCTCCTCTCCTTCCTGCAGTGACAGCCTTGGTACAAGCTGGTCCCCCTGCCACATGTGTCCTCACCCCAGTGTTTCTGATTTTCAGCTCCCAGTTCACAAGCTGTTTCCCCCAGAACCTTGTTCAGCACAAGCACCCTGCTGTTTCCTACCTCTTTTGTGTCTGCTGCTCAGATGCTTGGAAGCTGCCTTTTTGCTGGTGTTGCCTACTTGTCCCTCAGCCTCACTGCCATGGACATGAGGGTCTGTAGAGCTCCCTGTACTAGTGGGTGCCCAGGATGTCTCTGAACCCACTGAGGGACACACTTGGGTGCTGAGCAGGTCTAGGGGAGCTCTGGCCTGGGGCCGGAGTCCTCATCTCCCTAGAGAGAGTTTGGGCAAGTGGCTTCCTTGCTGCCTTTCATCCTATTCTTAAGTCCACCTGTCTCTGAGGTCTGACTTGAGTCTTTCCTGCTGCTGCTGAGTTTCAGTTCAGTGTTTCTGAACTGTCTACTGCTGGAGGGCCTGGCATGAGAGGAAGGAGATTAATTGCCCCTTTCCTGGCCCTCAAAGGACTTTCTACAAAGCCAGGGGATGCTGCCTTGTTTCTGCATCACCCTCTCCGGGGTTCCCCAGAATGCGGTGGTAGAGGAGGCTGGCCTGAAGAACCCCACAGGACTAGAGGCCCCTATCCCTTGCCCACAATGGTCCAGAGGATCAGTGAGAGATGAGGATGCGGGGCTCTCTGCAAGTCCCTATATTAGCTCAGAAAAATAAACCCCACATTGGCCCTGGCCGGTGTAGTTCAGTGGATTGGATTGAGTGGGAGCTGCGAACCAAAGGGTTGCAGATTTGACTCCCAGTCAGGGCACATGCCTGGGTTGTGGGCCAGGTTCCCATTGGGGGCCACATGAGAGGCAACCACACATCGATGTTTCTCTCTCTCTTTTTCTCCCTCCCTTCCCCTCTCTAAAAATAAATAAATAAAAATCTTTTTAAAATAAAAAAATAAGCCCCACATTATCCAGAATTGGGGGGTAAGGGTTTCCCTGGCTCCAGACAACTATGAAGGCACTCAAAGTAGGGGGTCAGTGGAAAAACCCATTTCCTAGGTGGAAGGACTGAGGTCCGGGCCACCCTGAGCTGGGAGGAAGTGAGCTCCATGGCCCTTATGACAGGATCAGGGCTGGGGCTGGCCAAAGCTTCTTCTCGCTCCAGGGCCTTCAGCTAGAATTTCAGGTCTCTGATCCCTGAGTTCTCTTCTTTAAAAATCTCAAATCCCCAAGCCTCCGTAAGGAGATGCTCTCGGGGTGGGGGTCCCTTCCTCAGCCACTTGCTTGTTCAGACCAGACCCTGCTACACTTTCCCCCATCAGCATATCCACCCCAAATCCAGCTGGCACAGGTCCCCCCATCTCCTAGATGCCTCCCTCTGCCCACTTCCTGACCTCTGGCTGCCAGCAGGGCATCTCAAGGTACACACATATCCCCATTTCCCATCACATAAAACCTCCCCTTGCCAGAGCCCCAAGACCCTGCAGAGCCCAGCTCCTGACCCCTCCCATCATCTCCTCTCACTTCCCTTACTCCTCCTGCTCCAGCCCCAGGCCACCCAGCCAACCTTGAAAGGGGAAACCCTACTGCAGCCACAGGACCCTTGCACTTGCTGCTCCCTCTGCTGGGGTGCAAGGCCTCCCACACTCCACCAAGGGACTCCTTCTCCACTGTCCATTCAAGTGCCACCACCTTTAAGAAGCCCTCCCTGACCACTCTGGCTGAGGTAGCAGCTCTGAGGTCCCCCTTTCATGTATCTGTTTGTGTGGAGCACCTGGCTCCTCCCTGGGGCTCTGAGGGAGGGCAAGTCTGTCTGGTCACTGAGGGTCACAGGGCCTGGCACGCCATCAGCCCCACAGGCTGCCCTGGCATGGGATGAACTGGGAATCCAGCATCTTCCCCAACAGGAATCTCCCTTTCCTAATCCCTGACACTCGCCTCTCTGTAACTCTACATCCATCCGAGGGCTCAGGCCCATAATCCTCCATCCCCCGATTACCCTTAATCACTGACCTGGCCCCTAATCCCTCAGATTTGCCAGATCTGTAATTCTGTGGCTTCTGGCTTCTCACATGCTGCGGGTGGGTCGGGGGGGGCGGGGGAGCTGGGAGTCAGCTCCTTGTTCACCATGTCCCAGACCAGCAGCCGTGAGGCCTCAGCCGAGCTCCTGCTGGCAAGTCTGGCCACCTGGGTCCTGTCACTTAACACTTGCTGTGCTCTGGTCTCTCTGTCCAAGCCAAGAGAATAGCTGGGAATCAGCTAGAGGAGGACTGAGCTCATGGTGGTGGTGGACATGAGGGCCCCACTGAGGTCACCAGCCTGTGTAGGTGCCCCGGGAGAGGGTTCCAGGCTCTCTCCCGTCTACAGGGCACTGGAGCCAAGAAGCCCAGGCCTGGGGGCCAGGGGTCATTGCTGCTGAGCCCTCCACTCCCTGAGACACCCTGTCCTTGTCCCTGAGTCTTTCTGGCCTGCTTTTCTCTCTCCATGAACAAGGTGTGAACTGTCCAGTCCAGCCTCTCCCCTCCTGGATGGAGCATCCAGGGTCTGGGTGGAGTAAGGGCCCCACTGTTATTTGTCAGGGAAGATTTTATAGCACACAATGTAATTGTGGTCATCGAAGGCGCTGGGTAGTTGAGGGCTGACCATGTGCCAGCCCCTGCTGGCAGCCTGACGATGCCCCAGTAGTCCCTGTGTCCTGGTGGTCCCTGGGCTGCCGGGATTGGGTGATGAGGCATTGGAGCTCAGAGAAGAACTATTAGCCCCACACTATACAGCCTAAGGGGGTGGGCAGGGGAAGGAAAAAGTAGGGGTGCTGGTGCAGATACCTTGGATGCTTCTGCTCTCCACCCACTTCCTCCACCCAGTTTTGCCTTGGACATGAGACTGGCTAGAGAAGATAAGGGTCAAGGGCCCAGGGCAGTTTGGTGGCATCCTAGTTGGAGCAAGTGCGATATCCTATGCATGGCACTGGGTCGTCCTGCCCATCATCCCGTCCTCGGTCCCCTGCCCTCTGCTCCAATGCTCCATAAGCTCGGGGGACGTCACCCAGTGGAAAGACAGTACACAGTGTGTGAGAGGGCTGGGGCTCAGGGCCTGTGGGGGGAGCTCCCAGACAGCAGGTCAGGAGACTGAGGACAGGCCCTGGGGGTGGCCCGCCTGGGTCTCAGTTCCTTGCCCCAACTTCCTGGCTGAGCCACCTCTCTGGTCTGTCAGTAGGGCGTTGTGGTCCCTGTCCCCACTCCTACCCCAAGAATAAAAGGAGAGAATATCTGCAGATCACCTGTCAAGGATGCCCTTGTTGCAGGGTGTGCGTGTGGAGCGACTGAGGAGAAAAAGAATGAAAACTCATGGACTTGGACAACAGTGTGGGGATTGCCGGGGGTGGGGATAGAGGAGGGTATGGGGGGGGATAAATGACAATGGAAGGAGACTTGACCTGGGGTGGTGAACACACAGTACAGTGTACAGATGATGTGTTGTGGAGCTGTGCGCCTGAAAATTATAATCCTGTTAACCAGTGTCACCCCAATAAATTCAATAACAAGCAGAGTAAAGAAGGGTGTCCTCATGCTCTAGGGCCATTTAGGTCGTTTCTAGGCCCTGGTGGTTTCTAGACCCCCTGGCCTTCTCAGTCACTCTCGCTTGCCATGTACGAGGATGTGTGCCCTAAAATGGGGGCACAGGTCTCATTCCAGAGAGGGTGGGGCGGGATTAGGAGCTCTGTAGTGAATGCTCTGGGTACGGGAAGCAGGGACTGGAGGCAGCAGCCGGTGGGGGTGGGGGCCTCAGGTCCATTGGGTGCTGGGCCCTGGGCTCTCAAGGGTGAGTAGATGCCCCAGAGTGGGGGCCTGAGCCCCACACCTTATCTAGATTCCGGCAAGAGACAGTCTGGAATTCCTAGCAGTCATTTGATTTTGCCCTGAACACCCACCCCCAGAGCCCTTTCAGTTCTCTCAAGGTCTTCATCCCCACCCCAGGCAGGTTTGTCCAGGGCTCTCCCATAGGACTGGTCCCCTCCCCATCATGGCCGGAGTCCCCATGTCCGTGTCCACTTAGAGGAAGTTCCATCAAAGGTGGGTGAGACAGTGCCTGGGAAGACCCTCAAAGGCTGCCACTCCCTGGGCTCCTCCTGGATGGATAGAAGAGACTGAGGTTCCCCAGGGCTGGAAGGACTTGCCCAAAGTCATGTCTGCCAGCGGGCAGGAGTACGTGTCTGCCAGGCCTGGCGGCTGCCACCAGTGTTAGACGTTGGGTTCCTTCCAGCCTTTGGCTCTCACAGGCCAAGCTATTGTGAATATGTTGGTGTAAATAACTTTTCAATTTTTTTCTCTTTCTCTTGGACAGTTTCCTTGAGACCAATTTCCTGGAGTGGAACACCAGCCGGCAGGCATGGTGTTAATAGCTCTCACAGTGCCATCAGGAAGGAGCCAATTTACAGCGGCTGCCGAAATAGGGAGCTTACCGCAGCCAAACCAGCACAGGCAGGGGCTTACAGCTGTTTATTATGTGTGCTAGTTTGGGCAAGTCCCCCCAGCCACTGGGAACCTCAGTCTCTTCTTTTGTCCATCCCAGAGGAGCCCAGGGAGTTACAGGCTTTGAGGGTCCCCCTAGGCAATGTCTCACCTGCATGGGATGGAACCTTCCCTGAGTGGACATGGGGACTCCAGCTGTGACGGGGAGCAGGGTGGTCCTACAGGAGAGCCCGGCACACACCTGCCCGGTGACTGAGGACCTGAGACACCTGAAAGGGTTGATGTGATCTGGGGGTGGGTGCTCTTTCCTCAGCATTAAAGGCAAAGTCAAGTAATTTTCTCTGTTTAAAGTTTGAGGACACCCTTTGCCTGAATCTAGACTGCAAGTGTGGGCTCAGACCCTGATCTGAGTTGTCTGCTTATCGCCGAGACCCCCAGGCTTCAGGGGTTTTTGTTTATAATGTTAACATATATATATAAAACATAAACTTTGGCCTTTACTCTTTAAAAGTGTACAATTGAGTACAATCACAATGTGCTTTGTGCCCATCACCCCATCCGCATCCAGAATGTTTTCATTTTCCAAAACAGAAACTCCTCGGCCCCTGGCAACCACAAACCCACTTCCTGTCTCTGTGGATGTGCCTGTTCCGGACATTTCATGTAATTGGAATCGCACGCTGTATGGTCTCGTGTCTGGCTTCTCTCACTGAGCACCATGTGTTCAAGGTCCACCCATGTTGTAGCGAGTGTCAGAGCTTCCCTCCTTTTCACGGCCGAGTGGTATTCCAGCGGGTGGAGGGATCACATTCACTCATCGGTGGACATGTGGGTTGCTCCCACCTTTTGGGTGCTGTGCGTTGTGATGCTGTGAGTATGGGGGCACCAGCACCTGTTGGAGTCCTCACTTTCAGTCCTCTGGGCGCGCACCTAAGCATGGGTTGCTGCATTGAATTGTGACGCAGTTTAACTTTTTGAGGAACTGACAGCTCTCCCTCAGAGTGGTTTTGATTCACATTTTCTTGATTGTTGCAGGGCTGCAATTTTCCCATGTGGCCTTTAACTGTTGCCATGTGTCCTCACGGGTACTTTACCCAGAACACCATGCCTGGCCATCAATAGGTATTCTTCGAATGGACAGGCCTTTTTCTGAGAGCACCTTCCGGGTGGAATTTAGGAATTGACTTAGGGGTCTGGTGTTTGGGAGTGGAAGGCACCTGTCATTACTTTTTTAGGCATGTGTATCACGTTAAATGTCTGTCCTGTTGCTCAGGTCACCCCCACAGTCTCAGCCCTCCCCGCTGGCCCCACCTGGCCCGAGCCTCTTTCTCCCTGCTGCCTCCCTGTGACCTGCAAGGGTGCTTCCCGAAATGACACTGTAGCCAGTGTCATGGACACCCTGCTGCTCAGGATGGAGGAGTTGGTGCCCTGCACCCCCAGATGTCAAGCTGCCATGTCTAGTTCCTGCCCTGAACTCTCCAGCACCTGTTGCCCCCACTGAACCTGCCACCCATGCTCCCCCCCCCCGAACTCCCCACCACCCTGGCTGCTCTCTGCTTGTCTCCTCCTTTCTTGTGCCTTGGACTGCACACTTATGCCAGGCACATTGGGTCTTTTTGGCCAAGGGAAACATTTAATCAAATTTGGAGTGACCTCTTAGGTTCTGTGAGGTCATGAAGGGAAGATTAGAACTGGGTCAGCAGTAGGGCCCAGGCTGGGGAGGCCAGCAAGCTGTGAGGTTCTGTCTGGAGGTAGGTGGGTGGACTTCCTGGAGGCAGAGTCCACAGTGGTCATGATCTGGGGCCAAAGTCTCGGATTGAATTTGTGGGAGGAGAGATCTGGGTTGTCCTCGAAGGCTCATGTGCACATTGGGGACACTTTCGTGGCAGAGTGTGGGGCATGGGCGAGGGCTCTGGGGCTGATGCCCACACCTCCCCCCAGGTTCTACTGGGACTTCACCATGCTGCTTTTCATGGTGGGAAACCTCATCATCATCCCAGTGGGCATCACCTTCTTCAAGGACGAGACCACGGCCCCATGGATTGTGTTTAACGTGGTCTCGGACACGTTCTTCCTCATGGACCTGGTGCTGAACTTCCGCACGGGCATTGTGATCGAGGACAACACGGAGATCATCCTGGACCCCGAGAAGATCAAGAAAAAATACCTGCGCACATGGTTCGTGGTGGACTTCGTGTCCTCCATTCCTGTGGACTATATCTTCCTCATCGTGGAGAAAGGCATCGACTCCGAGGTCTACAAGACAGCACGAGCTCTGCGCATTGTGCGCTTCACCAAGATCCTCAGCCTGCTGCGGCTGCTTCGCCTGTCCCGTCTCATCCGCTACATTCACCAGTGGGAGGAGGTGAGGGTGCAAAAGGGGCTGCATGGGTGGGGCCTAAGGACACTGTGGGAGGAGCCATTGCTGCAGGGGTGGGGCTTGAGGGGGGCTGTGGACCGTCATGGATGCAGGGGCGGGGCTGTGAGGATAACGGGACCAACGATGCTGGGGCCGTGATGGGAGACTCAGGGTGGGGTTTTGAGGGCCCAGAGGCTGGACCACAAGGAGAAGGCAGGCGGCTACAGATACAGGAGAGAGGCTCCTGAGAGGGCTCCGGGTGGGGTCACAAAGGCTGCAGTGAAGGGCCTGTATCATAGGGAACAGAACTTGGACTTGCTGTGGGGCAGAGCGGTGACGTGGGCTCATGGAGAACACAGCGCCCCTTTCCTTCATTCTGCCCTGTAAGAGGAATCCACAACTTCATTGGCAGTAGGGAAACTGAGGCTCAGGAAAGTGAATTCATAACCCTGTCCCTCAAGTCAGGACCACCTCTGGACTGCCCATGCCCAGCGATGTCACCCCCAGTTTCCAGAACAGCGACAAGGCTCTAAGGGGGGAAGCAGGCGGGGACAGGGCTGTAGGAAGAGACAATGGTCTTGGGAGACGGGAGCAGGGGGCGGGGTGGTTATCCGGGGCACCAAACTGGGCAGGGGCCATGTGGCCTGGTTCAGGACATTTCATTAGCCGGAAAGGTAGCAGGGCCTCGGAGGAGTGGGGGACGCTGGGAAGGGATTTGGGTCCCGCTGGAGGGGGCGGGGCTCCTTTTTTACCTCACGTGCCTGCCACGCCCCAGATTTTCCACATGACCTACGACCTGGCCAGTGCGGTCATGCGCATCTGCAACCTCATCAGCATGATGCTGCTGCTGTGCCACTGGGACGGCTGCCTGCAGTTCCTGGTGCCCATGCTGCAAGACTTCCCTCGCAACTGCTGGGTGTCGATCAACGGCATGGTGGTGAGCGCCCCGCCCTGTGCCACGCCCAGCCTACGCCCACCTGGGCTTCGCCCCACCTGGGCTGAGCTGTGTTCAGCTCAGTCCTAGGGTAGCGCCCCTCAGGGACCCTCAGCAGGCAGCTCCTTGATCATTGAAATGACTATGACGACTTTTATCACCCAGACATAGTATTATCTGCTTACAGGTGGTATTTTTTTTTTTTTTGCGATTGAGTCCACTTTCTTATGTAAATAACTTATTCAAAAAGACAAAGGGGAATGTGGTATCATGGCCTATAAGAGACAATCTGTGGAGACCCAGTCACCAGTTGCTACCTGGCTCAGATGCTGATGATTAAAAAAAGAGTCTTGGGTCCCTCTGGCTCATGTGGGGTTGGGATAAACTTAGAAATGGGCAGGAGCAGGGGTGGGGGGGAGGAGTGGAGAGAGGGGAGGGAAGGGGGAGGGGTGGGGAGGGGAGGGAAGGGAAGGGGGAGGGGTGGGGAGGGGAGGGAGTTGACAGGGCGAGAGGCAGTAAATGCAACATCCTCAGGCGCGCGCGTGGAGCCTGGCACAGCTGTCCGGCTGAGGCAGCTTATTGTCTAGCCGGACACCCAGGCATGCTGTCCTGTTTCCTGAATGGGGCCCCACTGCCTCCCTCCCCCAGCAGGGTCAACTGAGGACTGGGTTGTGGGGGGGGGGTCCTCCTGGCCCTGCCAGACGCCTCCACCCTCTGCCCCTCTGATTGGATTCTGGTGTCCTCAGCTCACTATCCCCAGGGTCCCTGGAACTTTCACATCCTCTTGGCCTTAGAGACACTCTGCCCCTCTGATTAGAGACTGCAAAAGGGTGGGAGCTCCTGAGCACCCAGAGCCAGGCTCTGGTCCTGCTGATCCTCAGTTTCTCCAGGAGTAAAGTGGACAGGCAGATCCCTGCCTCTGACTTGCCGTGCCTCTGACTTGCCGTGACGCGTGTACATATTAGTTCACCTGAGTCTTGGTTTCTCTTGGCTACCCTTGAACACGGGAAGCTCACCACCTCAGATGCCTGGGGGAGGACAAGCAGGTGGGGCCCTTGGGGGTCAAGGGGCTCCCTGGGGCTGTGAGCACCTGCCCATCTGCACACTGTGGCCTTGCAGAATCACTCGTGGAGCGAGCTCTACTCCTTTGCGCTCTTCAAGGCCATGAGCCACATGCTCTGCATCGGGTATGGTCGGCAGGCGCCTGAGAGCATGACTGACATCTGGCTGACGATGCTAAGTATGATTGTGGGAGCCACCTGCTATGCCATGTTCATCGGACATGCCACTGCCCTGATCCAGTCACTGGACTCCTCGAGGCGCCAGTACCAGGAAAAGGTCTGGGGGCACCTACCTTACCATTCCCCAGCTCCATGGCGGGGGAGGCGTGATGAGGACCCTAGAGGGAAGTTCTGGAGCCAGGAGGGGACACATGCCTAGGAAGGGGATAGGAGCCATGGCATCCAAACAGGGCAGGGCCAGTCCCTGTGTTGTCAGGGAGCTCCTCGGGGGATGGGGATGCAGGGGACCTCTCCAGGAGGTAAACTCATACCGGGGTTGCTGGGCTGGCTCCGGAAGGCACCGAGCAGGATCCCAGAGGACCGGGGTCACTCAAGGACAAGCTGGTCAGCCATGTCCATGGGGGATGCCTCTGGGGCATCAAGGATGTTTTGCCACTTGGACCTGGCCTCGGGGCTGGGGGAGTCTTCTTGGGGCTAATTCAAGGGCCGGGGGACCAGAAAGGGCTGAGGGAGAGTGGGCACTGGCCTTATGGGCTACCCCTTTGTGGAGTTTGCTCTTTGATGTCTCCCCGGTGCCTCGTTTTCCCTCTGTAAGGACCAAAGATGAGCTTGCTCCCCACCCCCATGCTGCCCTTGTTTGTCCTGAACTGCTGTTTGGTGGCCGACCCTGGCTGGGTAGCTGGGAGCACCCCCAGCAGTACTAACCCGGTCAGCTGGGTCAGCTGGGCCCAGTGCCAGGTGCACCGGCTGTCCGGAAGCCACAGCCTCACACCCAAACATGAGCTGGTGCTGCCACCCACCCACCATCACGGGTTCCGCTGAGCTCAGGGCAGCTGTGGCCGGGTGGGGCTGGGGCACCCCAGGGGTGCCATCCTGGGGACAGCCGGGCCTGGCACCCTTGCCTGGTGCCCACATTTCCTGGTTTATAGAAAGATCCTAGGGGAGGAGGGCTGGAGTCACAGACAGAGTTGGGAGCCTCTGAGACAGGAGTCCAGTATCTGTCAGGGATAGGGATGCCAGATACAATTCAGGATACAAGGAATAACTTGTGTTAGCAGAAGCATGTCCGCAGTATTGCACAGGATTTATTTACATTAAGCACGTTTGCCATTGATCTGAAGTTCAGATGTAACTGGGCGTGCTATTGTGGTTGTGGCTAAGCCTGGGAGCTGAGCAGCTACTGACCTGCCTGTACCTTGCCCCCTTACAGTACAAGCAGGTGGAGCAGTACATGTCCTTCCACAAGTTGCCTGCCGACTTCCGACAGAAAATCCACGACTACTACGAGCACCGCTACCAGGGCAAGATGTTCGATGAGGACAGCATCCTGGGCGAGCTCAACGGGCCCCTGCGGGAGGTGAGGCAGGCCATGGGACCCTCTGAGTTGGGTGGGGTTTGAGACAGCCCTGCTACCTGGCCCCCAGTTCCTGAAATGAGGAGGGGCTGGCCCAGGACTCAAGCTAGACTTGTACACAGCACCAGCTGCCCCTCCGTGAGCCTCTGTGTTCCGCACCCCCATGATGCCCCAGCCATCCTGAGTCCCCACACCCTCTGTGTGACTCCACGTGCCCTGTCTGGGGTCTGTGTGAGACAGAGGGTGGAGGCAGAGGAAGGGTGGAACTGGAGCCCGTCAGCCCAGGGTGGGTTGTCGGACCAATCCCAGCTCTGCCCCTCAGAGTGCCTGTGTGACACCGGACAAGGTTCCTGGGGCAGCCATGACGAATGTTCACACGCTGGATAGCTTAGAACAACAGGGATTTAGTTTCTCACGTTCTGAAGGCCAGACATCCAAGATCAAGGTGTCACAGGGCTGTGTTTCCTATGGAGGCTCCTTCCTGCCTCTTCTGGCTTCTGGTGTAGCCAGCAGTCACTGGTGTCCCTGGGCTTAGAGACGTGTTACCCTGATCTCTGCCTTTGTCTTCGCGTGGCCTGGCTGTCTTCCTGTGTATGTCCGTTCTCTTCTGATAAGGACACCAGTCATTGCATGTGGGCCCCCCTACTCCAGTGTGATCCCATCTTAACTAATGACATCTGCAAAGACCCTGGTCCAACACAAGGTCACATTCCCAGGGACCAGGGATTCAGGACTTCAACATTTCTGTTTTGGGAACATGATTCCACCCACAACACTCCCCAAGCAGTTATGGAGCAAGTCTGTGGGCCTGTGCTCTCCGGGAGTCCAGAGGGGAGAGCCTTGGGAAGGGCGGGAGTGGGGAGCTGACTGGTGAGAGGACATCTTCCTGAGGCAGTGTGAACCTGTGGGTCCCAGGTGGAGGACACAGACAGGAAAAGGCCCTGAGGAGGGAAAGGTGACATGCAGCCTGAGGAACGGGGAGGAGGGTGGGAAGGGAGGGGCCCTGTGCTCGGGCCGGGGACGCTGTGGGGTTGGGAAACCATTCACCCGCTTTGCCACCTAGAAAACAGGTGCTGTGGCAAATGTCATAGAGAGTGTTCAATTGTATTTGATACTTATTTTCATTCATCCATTCATTGATGGAATACACCTCACAGACCCTAACGCTCATGCAGTTCAGTGGGTTTGGGAATATTCAGAGTCGTGCAGCCACCATCTCTGTCTACTCACAGCGCCGCGGCAGCCCCAGGGGTCACCTGCACCCGTGAGCCATCGCTTCTCCCTCTTTCTTCCCAGCGCTGGCAGCCTCTGTTATATAGTCATTTAAATGTGTATGCAGTTCCAAAGTCAAGTTTTACAAACCACACATACCTAGAGGTTTTCCAGCTTCTATCCTGTGTTTCCACCAGTTCTCTCCTACTATATCCTTCCATTTTCTTTTTAAAATATTGGGTTGGCCAAAAAGTGTTTTTCTTTTTTCCCATAAGATGGCTCTAGTGGCACTTAGTTGTCTTTAACTTCATTTGAAACACTTTTGTTAGGTTGTATTGTGACAGCTGTCATATCAGCAGGCATTTAAAAAATAAAAATTGATGAATTTTTGTGTAGCCATTTTAACACTGAAGATGGAAGAAAATAAACAACATTTTTGGCATATATTTTACCTTTCAAGAAAGGCAAAAATGCAACGGGAAAAAAGATTTGTCCAGTGTATGGAGAAGGTGCTGTGACTGATGGAATGTGTCAAAAGTAGTTTGAAGTTTTGTGCTGGAGATTTCTTTCTGGATGATGCTCCACAGTCGGGTAGACCCGGTGAAGCTGATGCCGATCAAATGTAGACATTGACTGAAAACAATCAACGTCATACCATGCAGGAGCTAGCTGACATAGTCAAAATATCCAAATTAATAAAGTTATTAATGAAAGTAAAAATGTGCTTTTTATTTTACGGAAGAAACAAAATGAACTTTTTGGCCAGCCCCCAAACAAAGGCATGCCCAAAGCCATGCCCCGTGCTGGCCCTCCTCCCCTTTTCCTGCACCCCATGGGTGCAGCCCCAGGTGCTCTGTCTTGGCAGTTTTGCTTGTGCCTCTGCAGGAGGGACACCCAGCGCACCAGGCAGGGCAGAGGGCCAAGGGCCTGCACGCTCCTGCACACCCAGCAGCTCCCTGAGGGACACCTGTTCCCAGCTGGGGAACGTGCACCTGAACACACCGCCAGTGCGTCTGCAGGCAGCCTCAGGTGTACTGCCCGTCTGTGCTTTGGGGATGTTTTATCTGTGTTCCTCTGTCTGTGAACCATCCATAACTTTTGCTAGTTTTTCTCCGGAGCTCTTGGTCTTTTGGGGTTTTTGGTAGGAAGTGTTTGCCTGTGGAGGACTTCCAACTCTTTGACATACACATTTCTATCCCAATGGCCACTGGCCTTTTAACTTTGCTTACTTTGTTTTTCTTTCTTTTTTTCAACTTGGGGGATTTTTAGGCTGTGTACAGCAGGAGCTCTGTGTTTGCTTTCTGTATACAGTAGTCCACACTACTTGCCTGCTGTATGTAGCAGATGCATAATACATGCTTGTTGCACACACCCAGGTTATAGTAGAATTCACCCATGTTTCCTTCTAATGCTTCTATAGTTTCATTTATTTTTTTATCGCCATTCCCCACACCCTCCCCCTAGGCAATATCAGCTTGTTCTCAATGTCTGTAGTTCTGCTTCTACTTTGTTTTGTTTTTTGTTTTAGATTCCACATGTAAGTGAGGCAATACCATACTTATCTTTCTCTGCCTGACTTAGTCTACTTAGCATAGCATGCACAATACCGTACTACTCGACAGACATACATGTCTATCCACGTTGTTGCAAATGGCAAGATTTCACTCTTTCTTATTACTGAGTAATATTTCATGTATATATGTGCCTCTTCCATATCCATTCATCCATGAATGGATACCTAGGTTGTTTCCATTTGTTTTCCTTGGATAGATGCCCAGAAGTGAGGTTGCTAGGTTATATGGCAACTCTATTTTTAATTATTTGAGGAGCCTCTATGCTGTTTCTATAGTGGCCGCACCAGTCTGCATTTGTACCAGCACTGCACAAGGGTTCCCTTTTCTCCACATCCTTGCCAGCACTTGGATTTTGGTGTCTTTTCCATAATAGCCATTGTGACAAGTGTGAGGCGATGTCTCATTGTGATCTGAATTTGCGTTTCTCTGGTGTTTAGTGGTGTTGAGCTTCTTTTCACGTCTGTCGGCCGTCCACGTGTCCTCTTGGAAGAAACGTCTATTTACATCCTCTGATCGTTTGTTAAGTGGATTGTTTGGTTATTTATTTATTTATTCATTCATTCATTTACTTACTTATCTTTCAGTGTTAAGTTGCATGAGTTCCCTGCACGTTTTTTGTTTTGTTTCCTTTTTGTTGTTTTTCTTTTCTTTGTTTTCTTGTATATTTCGGATATCAATACCTCATTAGAGGTATCCTTTGTGAACATCTTTTCACCTTCATTAGGTCATCTTTTCATTGTGGGAGGTTTCCTTCGCTGTGCAAACACTGTAGCTTGATGTGGTCCCATTTATTTTCCTTTTGTTTCCCTTGCCCAAGGAGACATTACCCAAAAAGATATTGCTAAGACTGATGTCAAAGAGTGTATACTACCTGTTTTCCTCCAGGAATTTTATGGTTTCAGAATCTTATGTTTAAGTCTTTAATCCACTTTGAATTTACTTTTGTGCATGGTGTAAGCAAGTGGTCCAATTTCATTTCGTTTTTTGCATGCGTCTGCCCAGTTTTCCCAGCACTGCCCATTGAGGGGCCTGTCTTTATCCCACTGTATATTCTCTTCTCCTCTGTCTAAGATTAACTGACCACACGAGCAGGGATATATTTCTGGGCTCTCTATTCTGTTCCACTGCCCTGCGTGTCTGTTTTTAGGCCAGTACTGTGCTATCTTTAAAAAAAATTAAATGTTTTGGGGTAACATTGGCCTACAACATTATATAAATTTCAGGTGTACAACTTCATGACATCTGTATGCTCCACTGAGGGCTCACTACCTGAGGCTCACTAATGAGGTCTCCCTTCATTACCATATGTTTGTCCTCTTTGTCCTCCCCCACCCTCCTTCCCATCTGGTAACCACAATTCTGTTGTCTGTGTCAATGACTTTGTTTGCTTTGTTTGTTCATTTGTTGCCTTTTTGTTTTATAGCCCGTAAGGGGTGTTTTACACACAAGTGAAAACATATGGTTCTTGTCTGTGTCCATCTGACATATTGCATTTAGCATGACACTCCCAGGGTCCACCCGTGTTGTTGCAAATGGCCATATTTCATCCTTTTCATGCCTGCGTGGTATTCCATACCACATCTTTATCCCATCATCCATTGAAAGACACTTAGGTTGTTTCCATGCCTTGGCTATTGTGGATATGCTACAGTGAACATAGGCACACATATATCCTTATGACTAAGTATTTTCAAAATTTGGGGTTAGATACCCAGAATAACAATGGCTGGCCCATGTGGTAGCTCTCTTCCTAATTTTTGGAGGAAACTTCACACTATTTTCCTTAGTGGCTGTACCAGTTTACATTCCCACCAGCAGTGTGTGAGGGTTCCTTTTTCTCCACCTCCTTTCCAACACTCGTTATTTCTTGTCTTACTGAAAACAGCTGTTCTAACAGGCCTGCGGTGGTATCTCATTGTGGGTTTGATTTGCGTTTCTCTAATAGCTAATGAAGTTAAGTGAGCATCTTTTCATGTACCTTTGGCCATCTATATGTCTTCTTTGTATCTACTCAGGTCCTCTACCCATTTTTTAATTGGATTTTTAAAATTTTTTAAATTTCTTTTTTATTGATTATGCCATTACAGTTGTTCTATTCCCCCCTTCATTCCCCTCCACCCTACCCCCCATCTCCACCATTACCCCCCTTTAGTTTATGACCATGTGTCTCAAGTTCTTTAGAATCTATATTTCCCATACTATTCTTGCCCCCCCATA